GGCGAACCGCGTTTAGTTTGGTGTGGTTGCGTATGTTTTTAACCGAACCAAACCGATATTTTCGGCCAGCCGGTTCGGTTCGTTACCAAACCAGTTCATTGGTTCGGCCGGTTTGTTGGCCACCCCGCGCGACCGTTTGAAAGAGATGGGATCCACAGTGCTCACTTCGAGCGCATGTGCTTCCCCTTTCATCGGCCTCCAAACCACTACCTCGTTGACTTTTGAGTCGACTCAAAAGTCAACCCTTTCATCGGCCTCCGAACCACTACCTCCACCTTCTTCCAAGAGCGTGTTATTCTCGATGGTAACAACTCCACCCGACGCCTTAACTCTCTCAGCCACCACTAGCTGCTTCCACTGCATCATGAATCCTAGAGGGAGCCTATCGGTGCTTGCAGCGGTGGACATGGTAAGAATCCGACGGGTTGTTAGTTCCATTGCACATGTATGCATGCACGCCGCTCCATCAGCAGCACCCCTGCTGAAGGCACATTCTTCGCACCTCAAAGCCGACGCACTAACCAAGTTACAGCATCCACACCCTACGCAGCAGAACGGCTGATACCGACAGCACCGCTAATGTCCTGTTTTATTCGCGCCACTGCTGGCGAGTGTGAGCAGGGTACCTTCCCAACCCTCTCATCCCTGTAGTCTCCTGATGCCCTGACTCACTCTGTAGTTCCTGTGTACGTGTGTGCATGTGCATGTGCATGGGCATGGGCATGTGAATGGGCATGTGCATGGGCATGTGAACGCATGTGCATGCGCAGGGATTTAAGTGGTGGTGGCTTGACAGGATCAGTACCGATTCCAAGCGACTTCAACACTGCATTCACGTACCTGTGAGAACCCTCTTTGCTCTTTTGTAGCCTCGACCTGGAGTTGAACTACTCTTTTCCACCATTTCTTGCACACTCTCGACTCTTTAGAATGTGCCCTCGCCCTTGCTTGCTTCTCTACTCTCACTTCCACTATCGCTCCATCACACACCCACCCTCCTCCTCCGCCCCGCCCTTCCCTCCAACCCCTTCCCCCCCTTTTTACCCGTTTGTTCCAGCAACCTGGCAAGAAATTACCTCACGGGTCCTATCCCTGATGACATTTCCAATGTTGCGGGTGCAGTCACCATGTAAGGAGATCCTTTCTCAGCGAGAGTAGCTCTCCATATGAAGCCCACTCCCCCCACCTCTCCTTCTCCTTCCCCCTTCCTTCCATCTTTCCCTCCTGTTCTTCTCTGCACCCTCGTTCCCTCTTGCCCCCCTTCCACAAATCCACAATGCTGGCTGGTTTCTTAACAACTCTTGATTCTGCCATTTCCCCGTGTTTCTTCTGGTACCTCCCTCCCTCCCTCCCTCCCTCCCTCCCTCCCTCCCTCCCTCCCTCCCTCCCTCCCTCCCTCCCTCCCTCCCCCCCCTCCCTCCCTCCCACATTTCCTTCCTCCCTCTCTCCCTCCTTCCATCCCTTCCTCCCTCCCTTCTTCTTTGCAGTGATTTGTCAGGCAACTCTCTTGATGGCTCCATTCCTGCTTCCATATTCCACCTCCATCGCCTGCAAAATCTGTGAGACACGCTGTGCCATGTTATGCTGTGTAATTCATGCCATGTCATGAATTGCATGGTAACATGCCACACATCACCCCATGCCAAACATCACCGCAACACCATCACATCCACCTTTCGAGGTGCCGACCCAACCAGAGTCTCATGCTGCTGCCCCAACCCCAACCAGAGTGCTCGGATCCAACCAGCTATACGGCGATATTCCTCCCACTCTCTCCCAGCTCACGGATCTTAAGAAACTGTGAGTGCGAGCAACCAAGCACGCACACATGCAAGCACCGTGGAATTATTGCATCATATTGCTTCTTCCTCTCAAATAATGGAACGTCGGTGTGATTCTCCCCTTTTCCCCTGCCTCGTCTCACTTGTCTTCTGCAATCTGGCCCACTCCAGCCTTCTCAGTTTCCACATATCCTGGCTTAGAATCTACTCTGCCTCTGCCCGCGTATACTCCTGCCCCTTTTCCTTACTCCCCTCCCTCCTCCTTTGCACGTGCAGGGATTTGAGTAACAACCAGCTATCAGGGCCACTGCCTACCATCCTTAGTCGAGCCACCTCTCTCTCCCACCTGTCAGTCCCCCTCCCGCCCATCAGTCCCCCTCCCATGCTTTGTCTGAACTGTAGAGAAATATCAAGCTTTTAAACCATCCATCGCCCTTCCTTGAGCGTTTATATATCACACTGCTCTTGTGGTTGTGCTTTGCACTAGTACAACTCCCTCACCTGCGTCTTCTCCTTTTGTTCTTTGCCTCCTCCCCCATCTAATCGGCTCAGAAACGGACCCCCGATTTCCTCCCTCTCCCCCCTCTCCCACTTTACTCCCTCTCCCGCTCCTCTCCCGTTCCCCCTCTCCCCCTCCCCTCTATCTCCTTCTTCCCCATCCCCAGCGACCTCAGCAGCAACATCTTCTCGGGATCGCTGCCTTTGGGCTACAGCCGCCTCTCACAGCTATCCACCCTGTCAGTACCACGCAGTAGCGTGTGTGGCTTCATCCCATCCCATCCCATCCCATCCCATCCCATAGCATCACATTGCATCGCATCTCGCTCCACCACACCCCATCCAGCCCATTACTCTGCATCTCATATCAACTCATCCCTCACCATTTTCTATCTCCCTTCCATGCTCATCCCTCCCTACAAAACTCACCTCTCACCACCGAACCGCACCCCATCTCTTCTTGCAGGGGCCTGTCGTCCAACATTCTCTCGGGCCCCATCCCCGAGCCGCTTATCGCTGCCCTCACAAACTCACCTCGCCTGTGAGTGTGTGTTGATTCTCATTGAATCCTCTTGGTCCTCTTGGCATGCTTTTTAAAAACCCTCTCTGATTCCCCTTCGCATCTTCCTTGTATCCTCCTTAAATCCCCTTTGGATGCTTGAGGCACATCCAAGCTAATGCCACGTTCCCTGGTGCCCCTCACCAGATAGCGCGTGTGTGGAGCCATATGAGAGCTGAAAGGGATGGGTGGACCATGGCTGTGTGTGGGGGGGGGTTCCGTATAGCATTGCTGTGTTGTGTGTTTGTTTTCAAGGGCTTAGGGTTTAGGGTTTAGGGTTTAGGGCAAGTGCCTTCCCATGCATGGACCACTTGTCTTGCAGTCAAATTGCAAGCACTTGCTTCTCCTCGTTTGTTTCCTCGTGCGTGTAGTCTCCTGTATACTGTCTTCAAATACTCGTGTTGTTTTTATCGGACCATAAAACCTTCTTGTATCTCTCTCCTCGCTCCATTACCAAAGTGGTTACTCACAACCGCGCCGTGTCTTGCCATGCCGTTACATCGCATGCCACACCACACCACACCACACCACGCCATGCCATGCTGTGCCACAGGGACATGAGCCACAACCAGCTGTCTGGATCCATGCCTTCGTCCCTCTCCCTCCTCACCAAACTCACCAGCCTGTTAGTCCACAACCTTTCCCTCATCTTGTGACCTTTTCACCCGTTCAAGCTTAGCCATGTCCTCATGTCCGCATCGGTTCAGTTTCTCATGTGTTAAAACCACTTGACATCTGCCTCCATCCCTCTCCACTATCTGTCAGGTCCCACAAACTCAAACAAACAACCCCCCTCCCCCCACCCTTCCTCCTCCCCTTTTCCTCTCCTCCCCCACACGTACCTCCCCCCCGCCCCCTCTTCTCCACCTTTTCATCCTCCCCTCCACCCTCTCAAACGCCGGTGGGAAATACACGTTCTGCCTCATAGAAACCTGAGCTTCAACCGTCTGTCGGGCACACTCATTCCATCCATCAGCGCCCTCACTGCTCTGCAGGAGCTGTAGGCTCTCCCTCACTGCACTCCCGTTGCTGCACTGCTCTCTTGCACATGCTCTCTTCTCACATCACTCTCGTTTCTGCACTTCTCTTCTCTCACATGCCCTCACCACACTCCCGGCAGCACCCTCCCTTTCGTGTGTCCCTATAGCGGAAGGTACTCAATGATTTGCTGTGCTGTGGCCTATCTCTTGCCCATTCAAATAATTCTTCGCAACATAATCTTACCGATAAAGCGTGATTCCATCTACATGTCTTTTGCCTCGTCTCACGTCCCCCCATGGCACCACCCCGCTGTCTCTCATGCCATTCCCGCTTCTCTCCGCCTTGTCTCTTTGACTCTCTGTTTCTCCATCTTTCCATCGCTCTGTTGCTCTGTCTCTCTGCTCCCTGTCTCTCCACTGATTTCTGCAGATCTCTCTCCAACAATGCTCTCACAGGCTTTATTCCAGCAGCAGCCATCGCACAGATTCCCAACCTGCAGAAGCTGTATGCACGCCACCACTTGCACCCCACCGCTTGCACCACACATTCACAGAGTGATTTGTAACCGGCCACTCATGAACAACCAAGTAACCACGCAAGCGACCTGTAGAAGTCATGTGCATCACAACTCTTGCGTTGCAACAGGTTGTACAAGGACTCACGCTCTTGCCGTGCCGTGCCATGTGATGCCATGCAGAGGGACACGTTTGTGTTTCCGCCCTTTAGCTCTTGCTCTTAATTTCTGTCCCTCTCCCTTTTGCTCCCTTTCCCTTTCCACCGTCTCGCTTCCCCCCTCTCCTTCCCCACCCTCTCCCTTCCCCCTCTCCCCCTTCCCGTGCTCTCCTTTCCCCTCCTCTCCTTTCCCCTCCTCTCCCTCCCCCCTCTCTTCCTTCCCCATCTCTCCCTCCCCCACCTCTTTCTTTGCCCACTCTTCCTTGCCCGCTGTACGTGTGCACGGCAGGGACCTGAGTTACAACCAGCTGTCAGGGACTGTGCCAGAACAGATCTCTGCCTTGACTGCAATCACCAACCTGTACGCCCACTGGCTGCTGCTTCCATCCGCACTCCCACATTTGCCCGTGCCTTGCCTTGCTATGCCATGCCATGCCATGCCATGCCATGCAATGCCATGTGCAAGCAGACGGTGTCTTGTCATCTCTACCTTCACATGTGCCCATGCCATGCCGCAGTGCCACACTGAGCGGTACCAACTTCCAACACCTCCTACCCCTCCAGCCCCTCCCACCCCTCCCACCACCTTCCATTTGCTCCTCCGGTCCGTCCCTTTCACCTACCACTCCACCCCATCCACCCCACCCCTCTCTGCCTTCACCCGCAGCGATCTGAGCCACAACGACCTGTCCGGCCCTCTTCCAACCAGCATCAGCAGCATGACAGACCTCAAGGCCCTGTGAGTGCACTACGCTGCACCACTGCCCTCTCTTGTACCCTCCCTTTCCCTGCTTCTGTGACTCCGGTAGTAGGGGCACAGCTTAGTGCTCTGCGTGTAGCATGTAACGGGGGAGGGAGGCATGCCTGTCAGACAGTCCTTTTCATTGAATAGTACATCGGGGACAGCAAGGGCAGGTGAGAGCGATAGGGCTTGTAACCCCACTCCGGTTTGACCTTCCCTCCCTTCCCCCCTCCCTTCCCCATTTCCCCTTCCCTTCCACCTTTCCTTTCCCCCATCGCCTCCTCTCCCTCCCTTTAATCCTCTCTTCCCCCGTCCCCTCTGACGACCACCTCGTGCACGGCAGCAATCTGAGTGGCAACGAGTTTACCGGCTCCATACCTGCTGAGTACTCGAATCTCGCCAGCCTCCAAGTGCTGTCAGTGCCCCACCAACCCTCTCTCTCGCCCTGTCCTCCCCCCATGAACCTGCTCTCCTTCCCTCTCTGCTCTCCTTCCCCCTCTGCTCTCCTTCTCCCATTTTCACATTCTCACTCCCCCGTGCTCACGGGCCCCCCTCGTCCTCCCCACTCCAGCAATCCCTTTCCACACTGCACTGCCTCTCCGCTCTTTCTCTCCATCCCCACTTCCTGTGCTTCCTTGCCCTCCCACATTCCATCCCTCTTATAACTTCCCCATCCCTTCCCATCTCAATCTTCTACGTCCACAGCTCTCCCCAGTCCCCTGCATTTCAGCTATATGCTTTGAGAATTCTCAAGCACCATATGTCTTTTGTTCTCATCACTCCCACAGCAACCCCTTGCTTTATTTGCATTTACCCTACTCACCTTCCCGTTTCCCTTCCCACTGCACTACGCCCCTATGATTGCACCCTCTCGTTCAAATGGTCCGTTGTATTGATTCAGCAGGGGTACAGACATGCAGTTTGATTCAAGATACCCCCTCTCTCTCTCTCTCTCTCTTCCACTCTGCACCCCCGCAGCAACCTCTGCTGCAACCAGATCAGCGGCACTCTGCCCACGATTGTCGGAGGACTATTAAAACTGGAAGCCATGTGAGTGATGCGCCCAGCTGGCCCATGTGATGTGAGTCATGTGCCCAGCTGATTCGTGTGAGTGACCCGCGCAGCTGAGCCTCGTAAGTCATCCGCTGGGTGAGATATGTGAACTTACACAGATTCAATCAGCACCTCATGCAACAACATACATACACCCATGCAGCTGCACACACAACACTGCTTTTCCTTCCAAGGTTCTGTGCTAGATGTTCACTTACGAAAGCTTGACCTGTGCTGGGTGGCTGGCTAAGGGCAAACGCTTGCTAGTTCATTCTAAGAAAGAAGAGCCTCGACAAGCCTTTGGTAGTCGAGATGAACCCAAGGATAGCTAGAAGCAAGCAAACACATGCTTAGATTCTCTCTGTAATCTGAATGGGATTCAACGGCGGAGGAAGTTTTTTCTCGCCAGCCACTTGCCTTCCCTTCTAGGAGAGTATCCCGCTTTCACTGCTGCTTCCACTGCTGCTGCTGCCACTGCTGCTGCCACTGCTCCTTCCTACAGTGTTCCCCTTTGTTCCATACCTCAACGACAGCTCATCACAGGAATGTTGTACTGTCTTTCACATTGATGCCCCCTCCCCTCTCCTAGCCTCCCATCCCACCCAACCCTCCCACCTCCCTTCTCTCTAATGACCTCTTTGGTCTCACCCCTCCTCTCGCTCTCTCCTCTCTTTCCCTCGGCAGTGACCTGAGCAACAACCTTCTGCATGGAACCATCCCCACTCAGTACACTGGCCTTGTCCGCCTCACTCTCCTGTGCGTCCATCCCACTGGCCTCACGCCCCTATGCAGTGCAGTGCAGTGCAGTCAGTGAAGTGCGGTGCTGTGCAGTGCAGTCAGTGCAGTGCAGTTCTGTGCGGTGCAGTTCTGTGCGGTGCATTGCAGTGCAGTGCAGTTCAGTGCAGTTCAGTGCAGTGCAGTGCAGTGCACTCAGTGCAGTGCAGTGCAGTGCAGTGAAGTACAGTCAGTGCAGTGCAGTGCAGTGCAGTCAGTGCAGTGCATTGCAGTGCAGTGCGGTGCAGTGCAGTCAGTGCAGTGCAGTCTCATCGGCCTTCCCCACCTTCCTTCCCCCTTACACCCCACCCCCCACAGCAACCTCAACAACAACCAGCTGACAGGCCCCATACTAGAGCCCATACCAGCATCTCTCACCGTCTACAATCTTGACAACAACTATTTCTCCTCAGGCTTCTCCTCCCCACCCAACTGCGCGCAAGGCGCCATCTCCTTCCGCTTCAACTGCCTTGAAACCCCTCCTGACGGCTACTCCTGTCCCACGCCAGCCACGCCCTCTGCTGCGGCTGCAGCGGTGCAGCGGCCGGAGGCACTCTGTGCTGCCTTCTGCGGCGTGAGTGCTGCCGATCCCCCGTGCGGCGGGCATGGCTTGTGCTACCTGGAGGGTCCTAGCAGAGTCCCCAAGTGTGACTGCGAGTCTGGGTTTGTCAACGGGGAGCTTCCTGGAAGCTGCGTCGCTGAAGGCAGTGAGTGTGGGGGGGTAAGGGAAGGTAGGGGGGAGAGGAAGTGGGAGGGGGAGGGAGAGGAGGACGGGGAAAGAGGGAAGGGGAAGGGAAGGGAAGAGTGAGGAAGGATGGTCAATGGAGAGTCGTGTGGGCTCCTTTCTTGAACAATTAGGCAGTTTAGAAGCTCTTCTCACCTGTGTTTTCTCCCCTATTCCTGTACCCTACCCACATACCACCATTTCCAGCCTCCCACCCAACCCAAGCCAAGGTGAGACGGCGCCCCAGTGGCCGTGCACATGGTAGCAGCAGCGAAACCTTTTCTGTGCTCAACTACCAACTTATTTTACATTGCCTTTCCTTCTCCTTGTTGCTGCCCTCGCCCATTCTCCCGCCGCCAGGCCCAGGAAGCGGCCCAGTTACCCTGCAGCCAACAGCAGCACAGATAGCCGTGAAGGGGAGAGCGGCAGTGGCAAGCGACGGCACCGTCACACTCACAGCAGCCTCACAGCCCAACACGTGGGGTGCAGCGTTCCTCCAACTCCCCGTCTTGCTCTTCTCCTTCGCGCTGAAAGCCGGTGCCTGCGGCCGCCCCTTGGCCTTCACCGTCTATTTCTCCTTCTCCATTCTCAAACCCGCCGCGTCCAATGCCGCAGCAGAAGCAGGGGACGGGTTTGCGTTTGTGATTGCAGCCAGTGACTCTGTAACAGGCGGTAGCAGTGGCAGCAGCGACGGCAGTGGGGGTGGTGGCAGCTTGGGGTATGCAGGCATGGATGAGCGCAGCATAGCTGTGGAGTTTGACACTTCCAGGAGCACCAACGACCCAGACAGCAACCACGTGGGACTCAGTGTGAGCGGCAAAACCTCTTCCATCGCAACAGCCAAAGCAGGCCTTACTCTCAACGACGGCAAGCCAAAGCATGCCTGGATCGTCTTTGACCCCAGCAGCAGCAGCGGCGGCGGCGGCGTCGGCACGGGCTTGCTGCAAGTGTTTCTCTCAGCCAGCGCGTCTCCGAAGCCAAGCAAGGCAGTGCTGTCGGAGAAAGTGTCACTGTGCCACTACCTCAAGCCCACCGCACAGGGCGTGTCGTTTCACATGGGCTTCACTGCCTCTGCATCAGATTCCCCGCAGCAGCACTCCATCCTCGCGTGGAACGTCTCCGCAGGTCCCTGCCGCCCCCTGCCACCAAACCCCCTTCCTCTGTGTCGTCCAGTCCACCCATTGCTCTCTCCCACAGTGAATGGCCCAGAATCGCCCGCTGAACCTCGCTTCCCTATGATACACTGCCCTCGTTCACGAGCATGCGTTACATTCCATCACTTGTTACGTCTCCTTCGCTTGTCCAGTATTTGCATTTTCCACCTCCCCTCGCCTCAAGTCTGTTCTTTGTGCGCTTCTCTGTTTCTCTCTCTCTCCCTCTACCTCCCTCGCTCCTTCCATCTTCCCTTGCATGTGCAGGCCTCCCAGAACCAACCACTCTTACAGGTATGTCTGACATGAATTCATTTCTATCAATCCTCGAGAGTGTCACAAGCATAGCATGATCAGCCACTCTTGCATGTATGCGTAGCTTGCATTGCCTTGACTCGGCAACCTTTCCTTTCGATCCTTGGTTCTCTTCCTTCCGCCTCCCTCCCATTGCCCAATCCTCCCGCCAAATCCTCCTCCAATACTTACCTCCCCTAAACTCCCCCTCAACCCTCCTCACCGACTCCACTCCCTCTTAACCCCACCAGCATCCGCCCTACCCGACGACCCACACATATTGTACACATCCCCCTACCTTACCTCACCCGCCTCTTCCGTCCCCTCCTCTCCCGAACCCCCAATCTCCCCCTTTTCCAGGGCAGCAGTTCGGGTTCCAGTTGAGTGAGGCGTCACTGTCACCAATGGGAGCCAACCCTTTCTTCCGCTATGCCAGTGTTTTTTTACGCGCCTTAGAAACCCTCCCAACCCCTCAATCTCCCTCTCCCCAGGCCAGCAATTCGGGTTCCAGTTGAGTGAGGCGTCACTGTCACCAATGGGGGCCAACCCATTCTTTCGCTATGCCAGTGCAGGCGTGCAAGCACTGCAGGCGGCAGGGGGAGCAGGAGTAGCAGGAGGCGCAGGGGTAGGGGGGGGAGGCGGAGGGGAGCAGCAGGAGGTATGGATTGTCAGCCAGGCGTTCTCCTGGGCCGACCTGGGGCTTCCGTGGCCCGTCCAGAACCAGGGCGCCTGCGGTGAGGGCGTGCTCCTTGTGGGGATGGAGTGTGGTGGGATGGGATGGGATGGGATGGGATTGGATGGGATAGGATGGGATGGGATGGGATGGGAAGGGATGGGATGGGATGGGATGGGAAGGGATGGGATGGGATGGGATGGGATGGGATGCGATGGGATGGGATGGGATGGGATGGGATGGGGTGATGGGATGGGATGGGAAGGGATGGGATGGGATGGGAAGGGAAGGGATGGGATGGGATGGGATGGGATGGGATGGGATGGGATGGGAAGGGATGGGATGGGATGGGATGGGATGGGATGGGATGGGATGGGATGGGATGGGATGGGATGGGATGGGATGGGATGGGAAGGGAAGGGATGGGATGGGATGGGATGGGATGGGATGGGATGGGATGGGATGGGATGGGATGGGATGGGATGCGATGCGATGGGATGGGATGGGATGGGATGGGATGGGATGGGATGGGATGGGATGGGATGGGATGGGATGGGATGGGATGCGATGCGATGGGATGGGATGGGATGGGATGGGATGGGATGCGATGGGATGCGATGGGATGGGATGGGATGGGATGGGATGGGATGGGATGGGATGGGATGGGATGGGAAGGTATGGGAAGGTATGGGATGGGATGGGAAGGGATGGGATGGGATGGGAAGGGATGGGATGGGATGGGATGGGATGGGATGGGATGGGATGGGATGGGATGGGATGGGATGGGATGGGATGCGATGGGACGGGATGGGATGGGATGGGATGGGATGGGATGGGATGGGATGGGATGGGATGGGATGGGATGGGATGGGATGGGATGGGATGGGATGGGATGGGAAGGGATGGGATGGGATGGGATGGGATGGGATGGGATGGGATGGGATGGGATGGGATGGGATGGGATGGGATGGGATGGGATGGGATGGGATGCGATGGGATGGGATGGGATGGGATGGGGTGGGATGGGATGGGATGGGAAGGGATGGGATGGGATGGGAAGGGATGGGATGGGATGGGATGGGATGGGATGGGATGGGATGGGATGGGATGGGATGGGATGCGATGGGACGGGACGGGACGGGACGGGACGGGACGGGACGGGATGGGATGGGATGGGATGGGATGGGATGGGATGGGATGGGATGGGATGGGATGGGATGGGATGGGATGGGATGGGATGGGATGGGATGGGATGGGATGGGATGGGATGCGATGGGATGGGATGGGATGGGATGGGATGCGATGCGATGCGATGCGATGGGATGGGATGGGATGGGATGGGATGGGATGGGATGGGATGGGATGGGATGGGAAGGGATGGGATGGGATGGGATGGGATGGGATGGGATGGGATGGGATGGGATGGGATGCGATGCGATGGGATGGGATGGGATGGGATGGGATGGGATGGGATGCGATGGGATGGGATGGGATGGGATGGGATGCGATGGGATGCGATGCGATGGGATGGGATGCGATGGGATGGGATGGGATGGGATGGGATGGGATGGGATGGGATGCGATGCGATAAGATGGGATGGGATGGGGGTGGCGCTCTGTGGGTGGAAGTGGGGTAAGGGGGCTTTGGGTTTGTTTTCTGGTGGTGAGAAGGGACTGTCCCATTTCTGGTCGTTGTGGCTTGTCCTTTCCTACAGTTCTCATTTCCCCCATCCAGCACCCCCCTCTCGGGACACTGCTGGGCGCACGCAGTCATGAGAGACATAGAAAAGCCCTACAGCGTCCTCTTCAACCTCTCTCATCTCTTCAACCTCACTCATCTCTTCAACCTCTCTCATCTCTTCAACCTCTCTCATCTCTTCAACCTCTCTCATCTCTTCAACCTCACTCATCTCTTCAACCTCTCTCATCTCTTCAGCCTCTCTCATCTCTTCAACCTCACTCATCTCTTCAACCTCTCTCATCTCTTCAACCTCTCTCATCTCTTCAACCTCTCTCATCTCTTCAACCTCTCTCCTCTTCAACCTCTCTCATCTCTTCAACCTCTCTCATCTCTTCAACCTTTCAATTCAACCTCCACTCCGCACCCCCTCCCCCAACTTCTGCGCGTAATTAGTCATGATAGCCATAGAAATGACCCACAGCTTCCTTTTTAACCTCTCTCATCGCTTCGACCTCTCAACCAAAACTCCCCTCCCCCATTCCCTCCTCCCCCCCCTCCACTTCCTCCCTCTCTTACTGCCTCAGGCGACTGCTGGGCGTACGCGGTGGTGGGCAGCATAGAAATGGCATACGGCATTCTCTCCAACCTCTCCGCCGTGCCACTCCTCTCCGTCTCCCAGCTGCGTGAAGCCCTCGGCTCCTCATGCTCGCAGGGCAACTCGCCCTCCCAGGCCTTCCAGTACCTCGTTACCCTCAACGCCAAGAGCAAAGTCGGGCTCACATTGGACGGCAGGGCCGGGGCGGTGGCGAACGGCGGGGGCAGGGGCGGGGGTGGGAGCAAGAAGATTGGAATCTCAGTGGGGCTCATGGCGCATGGGAAGGCTGGGGAGCGGGTGGAAAGGAGGGGGTGGAGTGGGCGGCGCGCGGGGGCATGGGACCGTGGGGTAGGGAAGAGATCAAGCCAGAGCCCGCTCTGTGGCCTGCCGTTCTTTGCGCAGCTTGCCAAGGTTCTTGGGATCTCGTGCGGTGCAGGGCAGGGCTCGGGATCATTGGTACGTTGCTCTTCAGGTGACTTTCGAGTCGACTCAAAAGTCATCTCGTGCGGTGCAGGGCAGGGCACCGGATCATTGGTACGTTGCGATTCCTGGCTTGTCCTTTTCTCCCCCTTCATTTTCTGAGTCGGTCTGAGGTGGTACCTTCTGCCCTTTCTTCTGTATTTTTTCTCTCTCTCTTTCTCGTACGGATGGGTGTTGTGCGTTTAAATTCTCCTGATCTTCTGTTCTACAATCTGATTTGTATAAATTGTCAGGTTTTTTTTCATATTCGGGTGTTTCGCCAGTCAAGTGTCTCCAGGTGCCTCGTCAAATGTCTCCTGGTGTCCCTTGAGGTGACTTGTCAGGTTCCTTCTCAGGTGCCTTTTAAGGTACCTCTTCAGGTGCCTTTTCAGGTACCACTTCCGGTGCCTTTTTCAGGCACATCTTCAGGTGCCTTGTCCAGTGTAATGCCAAGCACTCTGACATGTGTAAGAGCTTGAGTTGCTCTAGGTGTCTCTCTCAACCATGGCTACCCATTATTTCTTCTTAGCACCCTACCCCACCTCCCCTACCCCACCTTGTGCTTTCCCCACCTCCCCCACTCTACCTACCCTCCTCTCCTCCCCTGCCCCACCAATCCTCCTCTGGTCCCTTTCCCCCACGGCAGAGCAAGCCATCGGGGGGGGCGTTCAGAGTGGACGGGTTTGAGCGCACGGCGTTCCACGGCTGGTTTGGGCTGCTGCTGGCAGTGCAGCGACAGCCCGTGGTGGTGCATGTGCAGGCCACCGCCCCCTCCTTCCTCAACTACGATGGGGTGAGCAAGAGTGCACATGGAGCAAGGTGGGTGCTCCCTCTGAATCACGACAGGTGGGTGGGTCCACTCACACTCATGCCACCGCTCCCTCCTTCCTCCTCCACGATGGGGTGAGCATGTGTGCACATGGAGCACATGGAGTGAGGAGAGCGCTTCCTCTCAGTCACGACAGGTTTGACCACTCACACTCATGCACGCCCGCCTGCCTGCACGCAGCAACGCACTCTCGCGTGTGCATGTGCGCACACACGCACACGCCTGCGCTCGTCCCTTGCTATGTCATGATGGATGGGGTGCCACATGGTTGGGCAAGAAATATATTTTTGAGTTGCCTCAAAAATAGGTGCCACATGGTTGGGCAAGGCATATAAACCGTATGCAACCCCCCCTCTCAAATCTCCTCCTTGTCTCCCACCCCAGCTATCCAAGTACGCGGACCCGTCGTGCTTCACGTACAACCTGAACCACGTGGTGCTGCTGGTGGGCTATCGCCTCACCGGCTTAGACCCCACCTTCCCGCACATGGCGCCACCCTTCTGGATCATCCGCAACTCATGGGGCCCGGAGTGGGGCGACGGCGGGCACATGCGGATGGACATCCAGGGGGGCGACGGCGTGTGTGGGATCAACACGCTGCCTGGGATCTACCCGGTGGTGCGCGCTGCCAAGGACCCCTGCAACGTCAACGGCACCACCAGTGGGCTGTTTGGGCCGCTCTTCAACCCCTGTGGCAACTTCACGTGCACGCCCACGCCTGATGGGGCCAGCAACCACTGCGACTGCAACGACCCGCGATTCGTCGAGGCGCTTCAACAGGACAACTCGCGCACCTGTGCTTACAGTGAGCGCTCTCCCCTGGACTTACAGTGAGCCCCCTCCCCTGTGCTTACAGTAACCGCACTTGAGTGTGCTGACAATGAACATTAATTAGTGTGCTTGAACTGAGTGCTCTTTCTCCTAACTCTTGGTCCTCATGTCTCACGTGCTGCTTCCCTCGTGTCTCACATGCCGATGCACCTTGACGTGCATGTTGTGCCGATTATTGAAGAAGGGTTTTGAGATGCATGTTGTGCATCGTGTCTCAAAACCCTTCTTCAATCACGATGCACCTTGGCGTGCATGTTGTGCCGATGATTGAAGAAGGGTTTTGAGACGGCACAACATGTCGTGTCTCAAAACCCTTCTTCAATCACGATGCACCTTGACGTGCATGTTGTGCCGATGCCCCATTGCGCTGAGTCCTGACTTTTGATCGATGTGCACTTGACCAAGGGAACGATAGTTAGCAACTTCCTGCCGCCTCTGCTACCTTTGCTATCTATCATTCCCTTGGTCACGCCGTTAACCAGAAGGTAAGAAGGTTTGAGTTGGTTGACTTTCCACCTTGGTGGCAATGCACTTAACACCTCCTTCTCATGGCCCTCATGCCTCTTCCATCAGAGCATGTCCGTCCTGTGTGTCGCTTGGCAAAGCACAGAGCCGCTTTTGTGCACTGCACTGCAGTGCTGCTCATTTGACAATGGTAGCCCGTCTTGGCAGCTATGATACTATCGCCTTGTGAGGCACCTCAAAAGTCGCTTTTGTGCACTGCAGTGCAGTGCAGTGCTCACTTGACAATGGTAGCCCGTCTCGGCTGCTATGAAGCTATCAGCGGTATCGGCACCACACCATGTTTCTTGACTGTTCAGCCACCGTCGTCTCATACCCTTTGTCTCCTGGCTGTCTCTGATTCTCAAATTTCTTTGTGGTTGTTGTTCTTCTTCTTTTCTTCTTCTTTCTGGTTTCTATCTGTCGCCTTGTTCTCCAGAGGATGTGTGCGGGGCGGCGGTGCAGAATCCGTGTGCGGTGGGCACGTGTGTGAATGATGGCAAGGGGTCGTACTCGTGTGTTTGCCCTCCGGGCTTCAGGCAGGGCACCACCGTTGATGGCACCTTCTCCTATGGTCCAGGTAACCTTCTCGTGTGATGCAAGTAACCCTCCCCTCTTGTGCTCCAGACACCTCTCGGTTCAACATCCACCTGTCCCCACTCTTATTCACGCTAAGCTGTCTCCAAGCTTGACCTTTCATGTCTTTTGCAAAGCCTCATTACTTAGGCTATGCTACCACCAAGCAACCAGTAGACACCATATCACACATTGCAATGAAGCATCTTCTCATCTGCCCATCGTTACCATCACTCCCCATTCACCAACCAACAACGAAACCCACCAGCCGCACCCAGTTCCACCGATTCACGTCTATTCCCACCATTCTGGACCACTTTGCACCGCACCGCATCATACTGCACAGGCGAATCCAGCAGCAAGTACAGGGTGGTGGCAAAAGGACTCACGTGCGCAGACATCCACCCCGTGTGTGGTCTCACTCTTGCCCAATTCCAAGACCAGAACCCCGTGAGTCCCCTTCCTCCCACGCCCACATCGCTGCCCATGGGCTCTATGGGTGTGGTGGGTGCACTGCACTGCTGCTTGCCCAGTTCCTAGTGACTGTGAGACCCACCCACCCACCCACCCACCCACCTCACCTGCCCTATGCCATCGCCTCCACTGTCCGGTCCATCCTCCCCTCACTGATTCTCTTCCCCTTTCCCCGCCAGGATGTGAGCTGCAGTGATCCTCTGGCTGTCGGCACGGTGGTGAACGTGGTCCAGCCAGACGACCTCACGCCCTGCTCCGTCTACTACACCACGTCCCCGGTACGATTCCTTCCTTCCCTCCCTCCCTCCCTCCCTCGCTCCCTCCCTCCCTTCCTCCCTCCCTCCCTCCCTCCCTCCCTCCCTCCCTCCCTCCCTCCCTCCCTCCCTCCCTCCCTCCCTCCCTCCCTCCCTTCCTCCATCTCTCAAATCCTCCCTCACTCCCTCCCTCCCTTGTCCCACCCATGTCAACCACAACCTGCAACCCTCTGTTTCCCAACCTATTTTAACCCTCTACGTAGCCCCACAAACCCCTTCCACTTCTCCCTTTCTCCTTGCCCCCCGTCGTTCCTATACGACCCTCTTCATCCAATCTCCCTACCTACTCCCAACCCTACATCCGTGCCCTCCTCTTCCCCGTCCCCTGTTCCCCTCCCGCCCTTCCCCCTGTTCCCCTCTCCTCCTTCATCGCTCTTCCTTCCCTCTCCCTCCCATCCCCCCAGGGTGACACATGTGAGTCGCTAGCCTCCTACTTCTCTCTCTACTCCGACGACTGCCCCACTCCCACCGAGCCCTGTGCAGCAGCCTTCCAGGCGCTCAACCCCGGGCTGGACTGCGCCAGCAGCAGCGGGGAGCTGGTGGGCAGCCAGGCGGTGTGTGTGGAGCGGCGGGCGGAGAGTGCAGCGGCGCTGCTCATCCCGGTGTGCTCGCAGTTCTATCTGGTGCAGGCTGGGGAGACGTGCGACCAGATCCGCTCCGTGCCCTCCCCGCCGCTCTCCCCTCTCGAGTTCTTCCGCCTCAACCCCGGCATCAAGTGCAGCCGCCTCGTGCCCAAGACTGACGTCGGCAGCCTCACAGGCTTCGAGGTCTCCCTCTCTATCCCTCTGCTCTCCCTCTGCTCTCCCTCTGCTCTCCCTCTTCTCTCCCTCTGCTCTCCCTCTGCTCTCCCTCTACTCTCCCTCTGCTCTCCCTCTGCTCTCCTCTGCTCTCCTCTGCGCAACCTTCTTCCACACCACCCTCTTTCCATCATCTCTCTCTCCCTTGCATCACCTGCTCCTCTCCTTTCCATTCTCTTCCAAGGCGCCTTAGAAAGCTTCCAATGCTCTTTAAAAGCCTTCTGAGGCGCATTAAATGTTTGGAGCTGCATTGTACGTCTGGAGTTTATGTCAGTCCTCCATTCCAGCCTTCTTACGTACCTATTTACTACCTACCTACCCACCCACCCACCCACCCACCCGCCTATCTACCTACCTACTTACCTACCTACCTACCTACTTACCTACCTACCTACCTACCTACCTATCTACCTACCTACTTACCCACCCACCTACCTACCTACCCACCTACCTACCTACCTACCTACTTACCTACCTACCTACCTACCTGCCTACTTACCTACCTACCTGCCTACCTGCCTACCTACCTACCTAGCTACCCACCTACCTACCCACCTACCTACCTATAAACTACCTCTCTGTCTTGCTTGTCTTCCCACATCCTCTCCCCTCATTTTCCCCTCCCTCCTTCCCACACGCATTTGACTGCACGGCAAGTGCAGGCGTGCATAGGCAGCTCGTTCAGCTTCACGCAAGGATTGTGCCCCAAGGCCCGTGCATACGTGGTTGGGACTGGCGACCGCTGCACTGGCCTGCAGGTCAAGTACTTCCGTGGAATCAAAGGGTGTTACAGGAAGACCAACGGCTACGATTGCATCGATAAGCTCGTCAAATCCACCAGAGTGTGCATCCCAGACCAAGAGAAGATCAAGGCCGGGAAATGCTCGCCTTGATATGGTGCTTGTTTGAACCACCATTGTCTTCTTGCTATCAGACGTTAGAGCTTGACTTTTTCCATCCAAAGTGGCTAAGGGAGGCATCTTAACAAAACATAGTGAGGCAAGAGTTGTGAGCTCGCACGCGTGTGTGTGTATGTGTGTGTGTGTGTGTGTGTGTGTGTGTGTGTGTGTGTGTGTGTGTGTGTGTGTGTGTGTGTGTGTGTGTGTGTGTGTGTGTGTGTGTGTGTGTGTGTGTGTGTGTGTGTGTGTGTGTGTGTGTGTGTGTGTGTGTGTGTGTGTGTGTGTGTGTGTGTGTGTGTGTGTGTGTGTGTGTGTGTGTGTGTGTGTGTGTGTGTGTGTGTGTGTGTGTGTGTGTGTGTGTGTGTGTGTGTGTGTGTGTGTGTGTGTGTGTGTGTGTGTGTGTGTGTGTGTGTGTGTGTGTGTGTGTGTGTGTGTGTGTGTGTGTGTGTGTGTGTGTGTGTGTGTGTGTGTGTGTGTGTGTGTGTGTGTGTGTGTGTGTGTGTGTGTGTGTGTGTGTGTGTGTGTGTGTGTGTGTGTGTGTGTGTGTGTGTGTGTGTGTGTGTGTGTGTGTGTGTGTGTGTGTGTGTGTGTGTGTGTGTGTGTGTGTGTGTGTGTGTGTGTGTGTGTGTGTGTGTGTGTGTGTGTGTGTGTGTGTGTGTGTGTGTGTGTGTGTGTGTGTGTGTGTGTGTGTGTGTGTCTGTGTGTGTCTGTGTGTGTCTGTGTGTGTGTCTGTGTGTGTGTCTGTGTGTGCATGTGTATGCATGTGTGTGTGTGCATGTGTGTGCGATATCATACTGTTATCGCTCCGATATATACACTCGAAAGAGTGGAATGGTGGTAGGGGCATTAAGTCAAAAGAATTGTATATTGCCCCAGGCGTTTATAGAGCTTTGTATGGATATGTATATCTACATATATATATATACATTTTTATATTAACCGTTCGGTGAACGTTCACAAGTGAAAAACGTATTTCCTGTACAAAAAAAAATACATTGGGGATGCACCGTGCCACCCCAGATAGAGGTTTGGGCCTGTGATAGCTACATGCGCCTCTACCCGGAGAACTGTATTTATATCCGCAGTATGAAAGTTTATCAGGACAAATTTATATGAAAATAGCCATTACCGTGTTTTGTCTAGTCAAGGTGTGATATGAATTAATCTTCAGGGTGTGCACATAAAACGAATAACGAGACTGCGATTTACTGAATGACATACAATCAAAGGTGACGAGATTAAAAGGGGAGTCCTAGCTAGGTGGGGAGGTCGGGCGAAGATGGCTCGGAAATGTTGCAATTGGAGCGGGGGAAACTCGAAAGTGGTTCGGTGCGAAAATGTAGGCCGAACGAACTGACGCGTGCATGGCTGATTTTATCGTAGTGATTAGTCTGATTACTCTTATATTTCAAAGTTTCCAACCTGTTGTGACTCATTTTTCAGAACTCGAGATTTCTGAACACTGGTCCATTCGGAGTAATAGCTTTAGTGACCCTGAAATCATGTATACACTACCAGACTAGTAATATTTCGGTCGCACAATTCTTATGGACCCTGAATGAGACATTATCGGGGCGAAGTTTCCCAGAAATTTCCCACAAGTAGCCCCCCATGTGCGTTATGAAGTTGCTTGCCCCCATGTGATGGCGGCGGTTCACGCGGAGAACTGACGTAATACAGACAACAAACACCACGCTTCTCTGAAAAGCGTCGCTATACAGCACAACTGTCACATTGCCAGCGCAGTAAAGAACATCATTGTTACTGCCACGCCCACCGCTCAATGCACAACGCTAGTCCCTCATTGGCGAGAGAAAAGAATTGGCAGTCAGCGCTGGCAGCCAACGAGTCCTTGAATATATTCGTCCTTGCATGAAGGGCCAAATACATTGAAGACTCGGGGTTATCACATTCCCCTGGCGAACGGGCCAACGACATGTGGCGAGCGCACCAGCGACAGCGCGCATGACCCGCCACCGCGCCTGCGTACCCGCCAACGCGCCAGCGAGCCGCACGTCCAACCCGCAAGTGGCCCGCCAACGCACCAGCGGGACTGCCAGCGCGTCAGCGAGCCCGCCAACAAATCTGCCAGCAGGCCCTCCAGCGCGCCAGCATGCACGCCAACCCGCTTCCCGCCCCCCCGTCTCTTGCTGTGCCCTGCCTCGACAGGTGCTGTGGGGGGGAGGTGGCGGTACTCGCGCCCGCGACAGCTGGGGTGTTTAAGCCCCCTTGAACCTGCACCTGCAGCGCCCACCGCCTCTCTCTCATTGCCGCATCTGCTACTGTGGGGGGGAAGGTGAGGGGGTGGCGGGAATGTGCCTACAACACCCACCACCTCCTCCTCACTTCCCTTGCCGCCCCTGCTGTAGTGGGGGGGAGGGAGAAGGGGTGTGGGGGTGCGGGTATGACCAGGCAGTCGGCCCTCCTCTCTCCTCTCCTCCAACCGCCTCTCCTCACCTCTTCTCCTCTCTCCTCACGTCCAGCCGCCGCTCTTCACCTCCTTTATCTCTCCTCTCCTCCAGCCGCCTCCTCCTCCTTTTGTTTGCTCATCCAGCAACGTTTCCTCCTCCTCTCAACCGCCTCCTGTGCACCACTTGGCTTCCTCCTATCCAATAGTTGGTGTTTATCACCAACAGCCTACGCCCTCCGATATAGCCCTCCTGCTCCTGCTCCTGCTCCGTTCCGGGGTTTGCAAGTGCTGCCAGTCAGCCATCGCTGTTTCAGTGCATATCTTAGCTGCGGAGGATTCTATTCTAAGGGAGAATTGAATTGCGTGTGACGCACGGTCAGAGTTCTGGCAGTGATTCTGGACAGAGTGTTTGAATGACTTAGTAGAATTCGAGCATAGTTTCACTAAGGGAAATTGATAGAACAAGATTATGGTACAAGGAAGGAGATCCCAAATAGCAAGCACAATGAACCCTGGAGAAACGTTCCTCGACGAACGCTCGACCTTTCCGAGTCAGCAACGCTAGGTGAAACGACAAGCATATGTGTCTTTCTCCTGAGTTGGCAGCTTCTCAGGTTTCCAACGTTCAGAGTTGTTTACGTTTTTACTGTTAGTAAAAACGTGTTTCAGGTTCAGTTTCCTTACTGATTCGAAATCTCCTGGGGAGTACAATTTCCGAAATGCTCTGATTGGTCGAAATCTGCTGTTTCGCAATTGGGCAAAATTCGCGCACATTGTGATTTTTGGAGACGAGTAATATTGGTCGACCAGAATTTCTCTGCTCGACGATGCCTCGTTCGAGCTTAATTCTGTCGACCAACGTTTCGTCGAAACGCCATTTTCTCCAATTTTGTCGACCCGCAAGGCCCGATTTCGACGCCGATTTGCTCCCCTCGACAAGTGCCTTGTCGACGGGCAGTTGCGTAGAGCAGAAACAACACTTCAATTTCGACGACTTAATCTTCTCGAAAATCGACCCGTCGAACAGAGATAAAAGTCCCTGAAGTCGCCGATGACCACGAAACGAACACCGTTGTGCTCCGAAAAGCATGGCCGACTTTGCCCAAGCGAGGGCGGGGCCTTTTCTCCTCGACACTCCCCTGCCCATCTCGAGCTTGGGCCCCCACACACAAGGTCCACCCAGAACCTACTTAATAGAATACAAGGGGATATTTCTTTGGCGTGCACACCTCCGCACGCCGATCACCGCACCAGCCATGTTAGAGGACATGGCACCTACTGCTGCACGTCGTCGTCGTCGCCGACTTCGGCAAGGCGAACCTGACCGACCGCGACAGAGCACCAGTTGAAGGCCGGAAAGTGCAGCCCTTTCGTAAGGAAGTCCGCCGGCTGCTCGGATGTCGGGATGTACTCCAGCGCAATCTTCTTGCGCTTCACCATCTGCTGCAGCCAGGCGTAGCGTCGCTCCATGTGCTCGAGGTTGCCCTTCAACCCCAAGCCCTCAGCGACAGCGATGGCGGACTGATTGTCCACGTTCAGAACAGTTGGCGTCCCAGCATCAAGGAGCTGGAACTCGGCGAGGAGGAACCGAAGTCGACGAGCCTCCTTGCCTGCTTCGGTGGCCGCGATGTACTCCGACTCTGTAGAGGACAGAGTCACGCACTTGATACGTTGGCTCGTCCAGGAGACAGCTGCGCCGCCGAAGGTGAAAACGTAGCCACTTGTGCTAGTGCGATTCTGCTTGTCGCCGGCGTCGTTCGCGTCCGCGTAGCCGACCAGTTTCAGAGTTTCGGGTCCTCCTCCGAACTCCAGAGCGAAATCGCACGTGTCGGCAAGATAGGTGAGGCAGCGATCGACCTCGCGCCAGTGCTGATCGCTCCTCACCGTCAGACCAGACCCCAGCTTGCTACACGCGA